CAGCAATCCTATTACTCTGTCACAACCATCACCAAACTCTTTTTATGGACTAGCAAGATAGTTGCAGAATAGAGACAAAGCCTAGATATCACTCTCTGTAGTAAATCTGAATCATTAACCCAGGCAATAAATGATCAGACCTCAAAACCAACTGTCTCAGAGTAATACTTTTGGAAAAACCATATAATGGCAATTATATAAAGAAGACACACTGGTATGGCTTAAGACAGAAGACCAAAACACTAAAATATAAACATTAAAAATCTCTCTGAAGACTGATGTACACAATCTTCACTAATTCACTTATATCTATTAGCTTGGATATTAATCTTGTTTTAGCTAAATATACACAATCAAATTTCAATGAATTCATATGAACTTCCATCGTGATGCCAGAGAATGTATACAAGGCATCTTGTTTGTCTGGGGATGGTGTGGGTGGAAAGAGCCCATTGCATTCAGGCAATTTATGATGTGGTGGGGGTCATACAGCAAGTATAAACTAAGCTAGAATCTTCTAGGATACCATAATGCATAATACCCCTTGGTATTGAATAAAATAATAAAATCATGTAATTTTATGGTTATAAGGAATATAATAGATTTTATAGATGAGAACAGGAAGATATAAAAAATAACTTCTCAAAATAGAAGTGAAGGTCTCTATCAATAGAAGTAACTATATACATACACACAAGGTGTATATGTACACATACAAAATACATACATAAATTACTTCCTTATCTGGTTTTTATGCCTTTATAGGGGAATTAAAAAGCCAAATGTAAAAATATGAGCACTAGTTTTTATGCTCATGGTCTAAAAGAAATTAGAGTAAGTTTTAAAGAAAAATGTGATAAGTAGGTTGTGTTATTAAAAAAAACCACAGAAATTATCTCTCTTCTACTCAACCACTCAATTTGGTTTTCATCTGTGTTAGTAGGGCAACTCTCTATGTGTATTTTGGAAAACATATAGGTATATATTTGAAAGAAGCATTAGGAAGGTAGGATGGTTGATGGTGAATCATAGAGAAGGTACATGTTGTGAAACACAGAATTTGGGTAGACTTATTGATTCTATAAAATTGCCAGGTTAATATGCACACTGTCAACAAACAAATTTATGGCAAGCTAAACAAATGTTCTACATATGCATTGAGATATTTAGCTAATATGTCAAAGAAAAGCGAGATGAAACTGTCAGTGAACTCACAAGACAGGAGGTACTGTTACAGCAGGGCCCATCGCTGCAGTGGGCCCCATTGGAGAGAGAGCATTTCTTACAGCACAGCCCATAGCATTCCTAGAAAACACACTTCGTGTGAGTAAGTCAGAAACCTTATCTGCTGGTCATTCAACATTTTCTCCACATGTGACTTGCGTATAATCCAAATGAGGAGATTTATACAACAGTAAGCAACTATTTCCCAAAGGAATTAATCACTTGAAACAACAGTAGATTCTTCCTGCCATATTTCTCAGCAAAGTATGATCATCTACGAAAGGGGTTCTTCACCAAAAAGCAAGCTTATTTCGTATCAGGCACCCCACCCTTGGTCAACTCTATTATTTTCTTAATACTCTGTCTAGTATCATAAAGACAAAAATAATACACAACACAGAAAGAATGTTGTGTGATCTGATAAAACTGGTCTGAGATGAATATGAGCTATGAATTTTTAAGAGGTAAGGAATTTCATTAGAAGAACCTATTAGGTTTTTTCAGACAGGGCCATAAGGACATGATGGATTCTAATGTGTGTGAGCTGGGATTAAGCATCGATGAGAGAGATGAGAAAGAAAGGCAGTAAAACCATGGTGAACGATAGCTCAGGCCTCTCACTGAGGCTATTCTTGTTTGCTCTTGGGTAGGAGGTGGGCTGAAAGTAGAAAAAGATGTCTTATACCTACCACATGAAAACCACAATCACATTCTTCCCCAGCTTCTACATATCCATTTCCACATTCTGTGGGCTCAAAGAGCTGAAAGAAATTAGGGAGAGAAAGGAGCATCATTTTAACACATCATAGAATATCAAAACATTGACTGGACCGCATACGTGACCCTATAATCAGTTATTGTGCTATTCTTCTGTGATCTGCTGTTATTGCATCTTATAAATGATGTCAGTGTGGGAAACACTGTTCACTTATTAATAACACTTCTCAAAAACATATTTTAAATGGGGTAATATCCCTTGGAGGATTCTCTGGAGGTAGGCTCCAGAGATAGCCTCTACCATTAGAGTTACTTTTTATGGAGATAAGCTGTCAAGAGGAATATATCACTTACCATATTTGCTAATGGAGCTAAAATGCATTGCTAATAAGTCTCACAGATACCTAATTTGCTGATTTATCTTGAGGCAGCTGGGAAGACATAAAAATTTTTATCAAAAAGATAAAAATGCTCCAGTCACAGCCAAATGCGATACATACCATCAAGTAAATGCAAATAAGCCTAAAAAATGCCTCTGGAAATCCATGCCTATCCTGCTCATTGAAAAGAAATATGCACTGTCTGAAGCACATTAAATAAGTACAGACATATGTATGAATGTACAGAAATCTATCAATTATTCCTGGATCAATGGAAGAGTCAAATTTCTAGAATAAACCATGCTAGTAGTGCTATAATTTGCTTGCCAGCTAAACTATATTGCAACCAACTGCAGAGACGGTTGATTGTTTATGAGGAATATTCCTATTTCCCATCACCTAGGACAAAATTTCTCCATTCATGTCCACCACACCAGGGTGAAGACGGGAATAGCATATACCAACCCAATGCTCAGAGCCATGAATCTGAGAGGGAGAGAGACTCCTTCTCCAGCAGCAGTACACACCCCAAGGCAGGGTTGCCTTTCACAGAGTCCACCTGAGAAAGATCCGACCCTCCTCCAACTTTCAGGAAGGGAAAACTATTATTAGAATCCAGGAGGGTTTCCAGGACACTTGGGTGGCACTCCCTAATAGGAAAGTCCAATGAGTGAAATCAACACTCCCAGCCTCTGTGGCATTTTAATCAGCAGGCAGGAGAAAACAGAAAAGGGAAGGGCAGACTGGCTTGCATTTTATATCAGGCCTCCCATGTAACTAACTGCTGGATTTCATTCTTAAGGTTCTTCTTCCATCATGAAACAGGTCATAATCACAAACCAGAAAGAAAACACAGCAGTTGGAAAGGTTCCCACAGCACAGAAAAGAGGCACACGATGTGAAAATAACATGTAAACCATGCATACATCCACTCATCCACTGATGGAAAAAAGTCAGTTCTTTGATACATACTTATAAACTATTCCACTGGAATCCATAGGGTTTTTTTTTAAGAATCATTCTAATATGTAATTTTTAGAAATTTCATATTTATTAACTTTTAAGATTGAAGATTTATAGTTATTTTTATCTAGTTTCCAAGTTATTGGAATAGTACTTTTTCTACTCACAGGCAATTTCAGAAATCTAATGATGGATCCTTAAACACACTCTAAAAACCCTTAACCTTGCCAAATAACTCAGTTGGTTCCTCAGGCATTATATTTATAATTAGCTGGTGAGCTACAAGGCAGGTAAAATTAGCCAGGTATCTTGCAATTCGAAAATGCCAGCATATCACATTAATTCATTATTACTCATTTCACCCATTTTAAACACTCTGAAACTTTCCAATTTCTGCCACACTGAGACTAGTGCCATGAAAGGCAGGCAGCTGAGTTTAATGATGCAAAATCACTTTAAAATTCCTGTTTTCTTTTTCTGCATCCTTACTGAGATTTTACACAGATGTCAGGCCTCAAACTACCATCCTTTGACTACAGCAGTATCATTTAATTATGGGGATAAAAATAAATTATTCTGTCAGTTATCCACATTAGTCACTGATTTAAAAAAAAGAGGTTAACAATTTCACTGCTCTCTGAATTTGCAGAATATTAAACATTTTGTATAGCAATGGTATGTATTTGACTTGTGAAGTAGTATTTTAAAAGGAAATATGAAATATGCAATGTTAGAATTTCTATACCTTCTGCTAATTAGCATCAATACTGTCTTTTCGTATGTTGAGCAACTTCATTTCCAAACATGCTACTATCAATCTGCAGTCCCTCATCCAAAAGCTTTATAGCTGGTGAGTTTGAGAATTCTGACTTTGCTGGATTTTAGAAAAGCATAATGAATTTACTATGTTCTATGTAATAGCCCTGAGGGGCCTGGTATATGCCCTATAATCAAACGCATTTATATTTTGGCAATAAGACTTAAGAATATTTATATTGAAGGACACTAAAGATTTTCCATTCATGACAAGTTTTACTGTCCAATGTGTTTTCTGCAAGCTCATAAAAAACACAATTTTTAGGGCTTTTTGAAGTGAGGAATTGTGTGTGGATGAGGGATTGTACACTGTATATATGAGCTCTGAAAAAATGCCAACTGACACAGACCTTCCCTGGTAAAAGAGACTATATAATACAAATACATGTATGTATTTAGGACATCCATAAATGCCTTGGGCCATTTTTTGGATAGCTGGTACTAGTAATGCTTCCCGTCTGGGAGAACAGACCACTTAGGAAAAAGAAACACTAAGAAATTAGTTATGCCCCTAGAGAGAATGTCAAGGGGAAATGGAATTTTTGTCAGAGAAATGGATTATAGCAATATATCTTAATCTAACTTACTATTTCTTAGCAGCAGAGTAAAAACCTTAATATGACAATTTCAAAGATATTTTAATTGAATGATGGTTTGTTTTTTGGAGGTGGGGGGCAGCTAGCACTGCAAAACCAGAGAGCAGTGAATCTATTGTTTTGTCAGTTCATTTACACTGGACTCAGCCTTCAACATGATAAAGCCTTTTGTAAGTAAATATTAATCTGATTGACAAAAAAACCTTTCCCAGGCAGGCAGCTGGTATTTGGCACAGTTCCATTACAAAAACATTGGAGAAATAATTACACTTTCCAAGTTACTAACCTTTGTTGGCCTGTTGAAAAGACAGGCTCCACCCCCTCTCTGTAAAAAGTCTCTGTACTCCAAAACGCTACACTTTGAGAACTTTCGGGAATGGGATACCCTGAGAAAATAAGAATCAATTATGTAAGAAACTTATCAAAAGCAGTTATCCGAAAAGAAAATTTAAATCCTTGAATGAGAAAAAAATGTTCATCCTGGGTCTAGATGATTATACACAAATTTTGACAAGGCACTTATGTTCAAATTACCAAATAAGTATGTGTGGTAGAGTTTGTAAAAATAGAGATCCAAAGAAAATAGCCCCCTAATTAGGGGCTAGGTTACAACCCCCTAGCAGTCAGGTCCTTTTGTGCCTGAGCTTGAAAGCGTTTTTGAAGGTCTCATCACAAAACTTCTTCATCTAGGCTGTATTTTAACATATGGTCATTTTTATTTGCTCTGCTGCCGTAAAGGCAAGCACTTTTTTGCCTCTGTCCTGAATAAAAACAGCTCAGGAACCTCCTAGATTTCACCTTGGAGGGGGGAGTTGCAAGAGTCAGTTTATTAAAGATTATATAATACAGGCTTCAGCAACACATTGAGGTAAACAAAGAAACCCTAAAGAGATTTTTGAGAGATGTGATGCAGTGTGTGTGTGTGTGCGTGTGTGTGTGTGTGTGTGTGTGTGTGTGTGTGTGTTTAGTATAGAGACACAGAGCAAAAACAAAATTAGGGTAAGCTTCTTCTGAATTAGAATTGGGTAAAAGCTCCTTACTCTTAACTTCAAATAGTATTTGGTGACATTTATGATTTAGAGGAAATATGATATGAGCCTCTTTGTGACTGAATTAATCAAATTATTATCTCTGTATCAGTACATCGAGGAATATTATGCACATGGTCCAGGTTGAACTGAATCATATATACTGATTCCTTGGGCATATCTGTCATAGTACTTTATTTGAGAGTGACAGACCACTTATTTTAGGATGTAATCCAATAGTTTTATGTATCCTGATATATGAGAGTAGTATATAGAAGTAGGTAAAATCTGCCATTGTTGACAGTGATAAAAGATCTATGTAGAAATGTATACTTGAGAAAACACATATTAACTTTAAATATTAATTTTGGTACTCAGCCCAAAAATTCATTTAAAAATTGGGAATTCGGAAGACAGAAGACAGCTCCCTATAGAAGCAGTATTATAAACAGTGTTACCTTCCTGTAACAGTCCTCCGAAATGCCTGTTTAAGCCATAGTGTTAGAAAACTATGGCACAATAGTAAGGGGAGCATGAAGGCTGACAGTTTCAAGTTTAAACTACATCCCTAGAAATGTGTTTCTAAAGTAGCAAGCAGAGTGCTGACTCACTCTGCAAACCCCCAGCCAGCCCCATGCTCATACTCCTTTTTTCCCTATGAGCTGGATTCCTGGTGGAATTAATAAGGAAGGGACTCTGCACATGTAGGTCAGGGCCTCTGGCAACTGGGGTTCATGGGATGGGGGAGTAGGTCCAGACATGGCCCATGTTATTGAGCAGATGTCTGGCATGGGCAAAAGAAACAGGAGGCAATTAGTGAGGAAACCTCTTCCTCCTTCTAGGAGTGGGTTCTAGCTTAGGGGGCTCCAGGCAGTGGCTCCCAAATGGGGCAGCAATCCCTAGCAAAGAGGGCAATGCTTCAAGGTCTTGGCTCATGGATGCAATGGCAGCCCTGGAGCAGCTGGTCCAGTTCCCAAAGTATCCGTAAAAGAAGAGAGGAGATAGGTGAGGAAATGTTCCAATGCCTATCAGTAGAAGACTACCTAATTTAGATACAATAAATCTGTCTTAATAAGAAAAAGCTTTATTGATTACATAAAAGCAGTATAGCACATTTTTTATTACAGCAAACATGGCTATTTTCAAGTTCCTTAAAATATAAATTGATGACTAAATTGATTTTAACCGACTGCTTCAGGTAGACACTTTCATTCTAAGTATACTAAAAAATTAATGCCTCTGCTAAACATAAAAGCATTTAATAATGTGCTTCCTTTAAGGGTTTATAGAAGTAGAAGTTGTTACTATATTTTACTCTTATCACCAATTTTAAATAAAAAATTAAAATATAAAGTGAATTAGTCCTTTCATTTTTAGAAAATCAAATGATTAATTACTGAATTTATGCTAAATGCTTAGCCTAAAGGACCAGTACCTGAGAGACTGTGTAATCTAATAATATGCAGCAATTTTAGCAAAAGGCATATATCAAATGTATGTATAATGAAAATTACCCTGTTTCCTCCATGATGCAGCCACCCCAGGATTCTGTGCAGTCGCATTCTAGTCCAATGAAACAATAAAAAGCAGCAAAAGAAAAGGTTAACAACAAAAGTCACATATTTCATTAGCATTGCAACTCTTGAAATAACCCATTACCAATTCCATGTCAAATTGATATGAAGTCTCACCAAACGAAATCTATTGCTTTTAAATCAATATTTTTTTAGCCTTTCCAAAAGTGTAGGTTGTTTCCTGAGACAACAGCTGGCCAGACATAATAATATTGTGCCCATCTTCATTTTCCTAACTCAGAATTCAATCAAGTTCCTAGTTCCCATGTTTAATGAAATGTACACTGGTCTAGAAATGGAAAGCTTGAGTTTGAGTCCATGTTCTACCTGATGAGAATCCCATCGGCAAGTGACTTATATTTCTAGGGTCTCAGTGTTTCCACCACTAAAATAGGAACTACATCTCCCTGCCTATCTCGCAAGTAGTGTGGGGCTCACAGAAGATGGTACACCTGTGTGCTGTCTGTGACCTGAAAAGATCTATGGGACAAATGCAGTGAGTCATCACTCAAGTCCTGCTAACAGAGCACACTGGAAGTTAGAGAAGTTAATTTGCTAGAGTCAAATCAAGGACTGGCCAGAGACTAGAAGAACACTATGCTAAAAGGTTTAGAAAAGAGAGCAATCGAAAATACAAGTGTGAATAATCATTTAAATAAACTAACAATTATAAACTTTTCATACCCAAGGGTTGACATATTGATATTGTCATGAGATATTCTTTTCATTAATTTTTTCCTATTCTCTTTTCTATCACAGATAAAGACATTCTTAAAGAAAGACTTCCAAATGGACTTCTAAAAACTCAAAGTTCAGAACTAACGAACTATTTACATAAACAAATAAATGACACAGGAATAGAAAATTTTACAAAGGAACTAAACCAGGCATTAGTGATGAACCCATATTTCTCACCTACCCCATCATCCAACTCAGTAGTTCTCTGCCTCTTCCCAGCTCCAGGATTTTCAAACAAGGTCATAAGCCTGGCCCTGCTCCTTTCTTATTTTAATGTATTTATCCCAGCTCATGAAACCCAATATACCTCCTTTAATATGTACTATTGGCTTCTGTGAAAAAGCAAGTACTCTGAGCAACATATTAATAAACAGAAGTTTGTGGAAAATTGCTAAATGCCTCCAATTTTACCTTTCAAACACTGTCCTCATGAAGTGGTGGCTTTTACCCATGAAGTAATGACTTAACACGCCCATAAAGGAAATTAAGAAGCTCCTGGATACATGTTTTGTTTAAAGTTTCCATAACATTATGCATTAATGACATTTACTTGGTAGTAGTCAAAAAAGTATCAAATGTAAGATAAAGTTAAGGTAGGTTTTTGTCCTTTTCTTCTTGGGAGGTAGAGAGGACAAGCTTTGCTCTTAGCATCTGCTATTTTCAAAGGGGAGTAGATATCATTTAACTCCTAGGTAAGAGAATAATTTGAGTGAATGCCTTAGTCCTTCTTTCCAGAGGATGGCTTTATGACTTCTTTGTATCCGAGGCACTTTTGCCTCCCACCACAAAAACGTATTAGAAATTATATTTTACTACTGTATTGATATAAAAAGGAATATAATCCAGGTTGGATTTTATACTGATTTGAAAGGAAACTGAAACTTTTCATGGACCCCTAAAACCATTGTGAGCCTTAGACACCTTGCCCCTGGACACTCTGCCCTGCCTTTCTACCTGCCTCTCCTCTGATTCATGAAGAGAGTGACACCTAGCAGACAGGAGCTGCATTTTCCTACCAGATGGGACCTAAGGTCCTACACGTACTTCCTCTTGGCCCTGCCTGCACCCTAGTCCACCACCTGTTTAAAGGGCCCTGGGGCAGGGCTGTCTGTGGGGAAGGCTTCTTCTCTAAGTTTTCTGTTGGGACAACATGAGTGAGTTTAATTAGAGGTAGGTAGGTGGATTTAAGTTGAATTAAGAGTTTGAGCTCCTGTTTGACTCTAGATGTAAGCTATTCCCCAATTCAACTGTGCTATTACTAAACTTATAATGGAACCTCACTGGCATCTTGTATCTATACTCAGCTGCTTAGAACCCAGAGAATAAGCATTCACCACCCCCAACCCAAATATTCTGCCATATGACAAAAAGTTCACATTCTATAAAGTGAATATGATTTTTATGGGTTTCAAAAGGGAACATTCTACAACCCAAAAAGATTAAGAATTACCGTAAGTTGATCATTTTAAAATTGTTTTAGAGGAAGGAGATATACTACAATGAAACTATAATGACTTAGGAATGAAAACTGTTTATTGTCTGGACATGCATTATACTGACAGAATAGCACATGAAAGTGAGTAAGATGGTCAGTGTACATACTTGGCTTTCTGCTGGAAGGTTCCCACTGGATTCCAAGGTTTTGAGCCAGGCTCTGCGATAATACTTGTGCCACTGCCATTGGAAGACCATACTGGTTTTCAGAGTTGGAAGTGTGTGGGAAACATTTGAGAGAGTGTACAAAGCTAGTTATTATTTCTTATTCATCACTACATATCATCTCAGTTCCTTAAGTAGATCCTCATAGCATCAAAAGATGGCATATGCTCCTTATCACTTCTTCCTGGCAACTGGGCCCAGGAAGCAGAAAGCCTCTCTTACTACGTGGCATCTCTCAGAATCTATGCTTTCATGTGGAAACATAAAATACAAGTCACAAAAGACTGAGTCCCACTTCAACTCATACTAAGAATGAATTCAACTTACTACAGATATGCCGAGAGAGGTCTCCAGTGAATGATGGCTATTGGCATATCCTGACAGAGTATATTCTGGTATTGATCAGGGTTTAGATATAATTGGTTTGACTTTTTGGGTGCAGTTGCCAGCTGTTATAAGAATTTTCTTTATATAAGTGAAGGTATAAAAATCCAAACAATAAGATTAAGGCAATATTTGTTTCAATTCATTATACAGATAGGTAGGTGGAAGGCATAATGATGAAGAACTTACATAGGGAGCAAACAATGAAACTAATTAGATACAATCATAAACTCCTGGATTTTAATGAGTTAAACCTACATGGGCAGAAGAGCATTATAGCTTAAAACAGAGTTATGAAGGAAGGATCAATAAGCTTATAAAACTTATCTAGAGAGGCCAAAAAATCTCTAGGCCCATCTTTGGCTTGCATGTCCCTGATGAAGATGAAAAACCATCTTTTTCATTATGTGGTGAAGCAATATATCTTTTCTGACACCAAAGCCCACTTTGGGTTCTATTTGCTAAAATAAACCCTCATATTCTATTCTCGATGTTATCGTCATTCTAAACAAGCCTGAGAGGGCTGTAAACTAGGCCACAGGGAAGAAAGAGATCAGATGCAAAGGTAAAGCTCTACTTTAAGAAAATTGATAAAATTTACCTCATTCACACCAACTCCCCTTGTGCGAGAACAGACACCTCCAAAGTAACTCAGACTGCTTCTCTTATAGTGGAATGTCACACGCCTGAAGAAAGAAGTGCTATTAGGAAACCGATGTAATAACCACATAGAAACTCTCCCAAAACATGTCTACCCACTCTCCTACACTGAATACCCCAAATTCACTCTCTTTCAAGAAATAAAAAACTCTATTTTAAATACCTTTAAATTTATGATATGTTGAATAATCTCAGTTGTGCAAACATTAATTGAGCACCTTCTAAGCACTGGCACAGGAATTGAGGACACAAAGATAAACAGACCACAGATCTTTACTTTTTTCTAGCAGAGACTAGTAGTTATATAAAATATTGAAGATATATTTATCAAAAATAGCTGATTAAAGACTGAGAGAGAAAAAAGCAAAGAGTAAGGGTAAGAGGAAAAGAAGGACTCTGGTTAGTCTAAATCTACAACAGAAGTTTAGAGAACAGTTTAAAACAGATTTGCCATGAGTAGAGAAAGGCACAATTTATTATTAGTATGGTACCCCTTTTCCTCAGTGATAAAAAGCTCAATTTTATCTAATGGTACACCTCAAAAGACTATTTTTTTTTCAAGCCTTTCTTGCAGCTCGGTGTGGCGATGTGACTAAGATCGCACAAATGACTTGTTAGTGAAAAAGATATGGGTAAGCTTTCAAGAAATCTGTTTTAAGGGAGCTAGTTCAGCTGGAAGGAGTATCCTTTTGCATACCTCCCTGCTTGGCATTCCTGCTGCCTGTAAATGAAGGCTGGAGCACCAGCAGCCATCCTGCACAATGAGTTGACCTTAGGGATGCAAGTTCTGAAAATAGGACTATACTCTGAAGGTAAATCTTATGGCTGGGGAGCCACCATCCCAGCACATGCCAGCCTACCTCCAGGCTTCTTTTATAACAGAGAGGAATCAGTATCAATCTTTTTCAAGATGACTACACTGATACATAACTTAACTGATATAGTAAAAGGTAAAGATAAATGTCAAACCAAAAACAACAGGTACATACGAGATGAGGTGCACAGCATCAGCATGCTGCTTGATACGCTGCCGATATTTGGAGAATTCATGGAGCATCTGCACAGGGTTGGTAGTGATGTCAATATGATCCTTCTCATTCCAGGTCTCTACAGCCACCAGGACAACCCTGGTATTGAGCTGCTCCTTGTAAATCTGAGGGTATACAACAGGACAGGTGCAGGAGGAAAACACTGGGTCAAACATGCACAATCAGTGATTCAGAGTCAGCGGAAGGACAGGAGGGGAGGTAAGAGGAGAACATGAGGTCATAATTAGCTCATCATAGAGAACTTTCTTTTCTTGCTCTTTTCCAAAAGCAAAAATAAAGAAAGAATGAAAGAACAATCACAGTTTGGCCTGTCCTACAGGTTGTTTCATTTTCAAATCAGTACATTTAATGGCCAGGCATCTCACTAGGGAGAGATAGTAGGGATGTAAAGATTCTAAAATTTGGGTATAAATTCCTAGCAAGGTTCAGTAAAATCCAAACCTCATAGTGGGTAACAGGTTGGCACAGGACATAGTGGCTCTGAGTAGGTCCAGTACGACAAGTCAGTCCTGCAGGACTGGAAGGAATCACTAAATAATTGGACAACCATCAACAACACAGATGGCTGGATCTTGGAAGCTTTGTTGTACTACAAGTAAAATAACACTGGGAGAGAATCACGGATCTGAGGCCAAAGGAGGGAAGGGCAAATTTATAATACCCACCCGTTTCACCTTCACCACAGGGTGGCATCACTCACAAAATTTAAATTGCCATCTTTCTCCTTTCTCTACTTTTGGCCCAATAGCTAAATAATTCACACAATTAAGCAACTTCAATGAATGCTGTCACTTTGTGCTTTTGTCAAGCTAATTAACAAAATAATGGATGATCTTTATCACACTGAAAAGAGTATCACCATGCCTAAATCAATGAGAAGGGGTAAAGATTTTACAAGAGATGAATTCAATATAACTAATGTCTTTTAAAAATTAGTTGGTCAGCGTCAGAACCCTGTGTGGTAACCTACAATAGAAAGTATACTTTGCAAGATGAGATGCTGCTATTCAATCGTGGTGAAGTGACTAACATAGAGCTGTTACCAAGTAAACAACTTCAGCAGGGGAAAAGTTAAATTTAATATTCTCTTTTCCATATCCACTAATAGTTTCCTCTTCAGAGACTGACATGAGCTAAAATTAAATTGACAAACCAGGTACAAACTGGCTTTCAGAACTTCAGTCCTAACTGTATAAAACAGTCTGCCCATCCCACCCATGTTATATGCGTTTGCTCAGCTATGACTATCAGGCATTAGGTGTTATATGTTATGAATATTTACATGGTTGGAGGTTACTGGACTGTTTAAGAGACAAAAGAAAAAGGAGGCAGTTCTTTGGAGAAAATGAGTATAAAAAAGTTTTTCACCCAGTTAAGAGGGGACATACAATCCACTGCTAGGAATTTACCCAAAGAAAACAAGTTCTCAGATTCAAAAAGACATATGCACCCTTATGTTTATTGCAGCACTATTTACAATAGCTGAGATATGGAAACAATTAATATCAGATAAAAATATATTCAGCTGAACAAAATAGCACATTACATTAGACTATACACAGTAGTATACTATAGTTAATTTATGACTAGTCAAATTGAACTACTTGGTGGAACATAACATCAGATACTGGGATACAATGTTCACATCCATGGAATTCCTACCTAAAGCAGGAAAGAGGAAGAAAATCTTAACCATCATTCTCTATAACACACAAAATGAGAAGGAAAAAATATCGATATGAAAGATAAAGTTAGAAGTCTTTGAGAGGAAATACCATATTTTGCTGTTTCAATTTAGTTTTATCTGGAGACTACACTTAATTATGTCATTTAGAAATTAAGTCTGAAGCATTCCACTAATGGGAACACTAAGAAAATTAATTTGGGTGCTTAAAAAAATGTTTCTATTTCCTAAATTCTCCATACTCCACCTCAACTTATTCTTCTGCCATATATTTAAGACAATAACAGTTCATATAGTTAAGACAATTGATAGTTCTTCTGCCACATATTCAAGACAATAAGCTCAACTGGTTATTATTAACAAGGTTTCATTTGTTAAGGTAATTTACACTCTTTTTGGCAGCTAATTTTCTCCAGTGTTTTTGTCCTTCATAAACTTGGTGGCAATGAGGTCTAGACGTCACTTAGAAACAATGGTAATAGCATCTTTGGGATTCCAAGGATAACTCAACAGCATCTTAAACTCTGATAACACTACTCTTTGTGAATCAGACTGCACTATAACTTCTTAGCCAGATCAGCTTAAGGATGGCATTTTTACTTTTACCCAAAAAAGATCTAAAGTAACAAGAAAGCAAATAGAGATATAAACCAATTCCATCTTGGAAAAAAATAGGTTCAAGAAAACCAGGATACTTACAGAATCCACAAGGTTGACCACAGACTTTGCAAAGTTATTGGTGTGTGCGTGAGAAGAGCGACACTTCTTATACTGGGGGAGAAAGGCAAACCAGTCACTGCCACATCATAATTTAATGGTAAATTTCAAAATTCATTAAAAGCAGAAATCTCACAACAATAGTAGAAATTGGCATCAAAAACATAAACTTTAGTTTGTGCCATGTTGGAAATGGTGGTATTCTTATTTTATTTCTCTGTTAGGCAGAAAAACTATTTAAAACACCTGTACCAGAAAGACAAACATGATATGATTTCACTTGTATGCGGGATCCAACAAAACAAATGAACAACCAAACAAAAGAGTAATAGACCCACAGACCCATAGACACAGAGAACAGACTGGCGATTGCCATAAGGGAGCAGGAATGGGGATGGGTCTAACAGGTGAAACAGGAAAAATTAATGAGAATGTTTGATATCCTGGTTTGGGTGATGGGTACATGAGAGTACATACATGTCAAAATTTATCGAGCTGTACACTAAGATCTATGTATTTTATTGTATGTGCCTCAATTTACATAGAAGGAAAGGAAAAGGGAAAAGGAAGGGGAATGGAAAGGGGAAGGAGAAGGGAAAAGGGGAGGGAAGGGAAGGGAAGGGAAGGGAAGGGGAGGGGAGGGGAGGGGAGGGGAGGGGAGGGGAAGGGAAGGGAAGGGAAGGGAAGGGAAGGGGAGGGGAGGGGAGGGGAGGGGAGGGGACCGCAATGCTGTCCTTGTATTTTCACTGAAATGATCTTAACCACCTTCTAAAAGGCTCGAACCAAGAAATGTAGTCTCAACTGGACAAATCAAGGACATTTCTTAGGCAACACTGGAGATGCTATCCATGACACGGAATGCAGTTGGCACGCATTTTACTATATTCTTTCTGAAGAATGTCTCCTCCAAATGAAGCTTTTTTGCTTTTGCCCAAAGTCAGAACAAAAAAGAGACAAAAGTAAAAATGAAGTATGGCAATAGTTTATAATTGTGTCTGGTTATTTATGTTAATTTAATAAAGAAAAGAAAATTAATAGATTATTTAAATAACAAAATATGGAAGACTATAGTTTTAGCAAGGAGTACCTTGCTCTGTCTTTGAGAGGACATTAGAAAACCGAAGTCTTAACCATGGGGGGGATCAAACCCCCTGAGAAAAAAGAAAAATATGCAAAACTACCAAATTGGATTTCCATCATAAGTCTTTAAAAATTTGTCTTCAATTAAAATAATGCATCTTTTATAAAGATTAAAAATATTTCTAAAGTGGAAATCCATGATATTCTTTTTTCTCCTCTGACCACATTATAAATTTATCAGAATCCCTTCATTTCATTCTCTCTCTTCCCCTGTCACTATGTTTTTTTAAACATAGAAAATATGTTCTTGTGCTTATATATGAGGTATTTTTTCATGGTACTAGCACACTGACAACCCATGATAAACTTAACATTGTGACACTGTGTTTCTAGTAGCATTCATTAATTTATAACTATTTATATGTATAATATTTGCTACCAATGGGCATCATGATCTGTTCTTTTAGAGTAAACTTCAATTTATGCATGTAACTGGGTCATAAAACATCATATTGATCTAAAAATTTTCAGACACTTTAACAGTGTTTTCAAACCTACTGTAAAGAAGTTGCTGTCAAGAGCTAAGCATTTTAAGTTGCCTAGCAAATTCCATAAGCTGAAAAATTACAAAGATACTCCTAAAAGTAAAAGCAAAAGTCCCTCTGGGGTCAGGAAAATGCATTGGAACTAGCTGAAGGTACTAAATGCCACCAAAATGTACTCTTAACAAAAGAGCTGAGGATTTAATCATGTTTGTAACTGTTGAATCACTGTTGTATACTTGAAGCCAGTATAATATCAACTATACTTCAATTTTTAAAAAAACTGTTGATATTAAGAAGCACACACCAAAAAAACAAAGGAGAACATTAACTAACACCTATTCTAATGCAGTGGTGTTACACACTTACTAAAACAAATTTTATTTTGCTTCTGAACATTAATTTGTCATTTCTGGAGACTTCTTTTTTTTAATATTTATTTACTGATTTTACTTTTTTTAAATTTAAGGTATCATTAATATACAATCTTATGAAGGTTTCACATGAGCAACATCGTGGTTTCCTCATTCACCCATATTATCAAGTACTCACAACCCCCATTGCCGTCACTCTCTATCAGCGTAGTAAGATGCTATAGAGTCATTACTTGTCTTTGGAGACTTCTTTTTATAGTATATTGATTGTGGAAAATAGGACATGTGAATGAAAAAATAAAATAAGGTCTCTTTGAAGTCTATCAAAATGTAATAAGTTTTTAATTTATTTCATATTTGTAACTTCCAAGTCCCTGATTTTGTTTTTAGAAAGTTCGCTCTGCCTGCTGTAGAGAGAGTGACTTGGAGGGGGTCAAGGATGAAAGCAGAGAGAAACTATGACAATAGTCCAGACAAAAGATAATGAATACTGGACATCTGCAGAGAGAAGAGGGTAGATTTAAGACACTATGAAAAGAGGACCCACAAGACTTTTTGATGAATAGGATGCAGAAGGTGAGGAAAGAACAAAAGATGACTCCTGGGTTTTGATTTGAATAGCGGGGGTGGTGGTGGTACCATTCAAAATAATGAGAAAGACTAAGGGAAGAGAAGCTTAGAAATAAGGAACCTAAAGTTCTGACATAAAAACACTAAATATGAAATGCCTATTCAGTATGGAAGCAGGGAGCCAAGTAGGCAGTTGGATATATAAGAAAGGAACTCAGAAGACTAAAGGTATAGAGAGTGATGAATGGAAGTGATGATGACATTATATAAAGCCCCAAACCAAGCTGTGGGGCACTCTCATAATTCTTGAGGCCATATGGAAAAAAACTATGACAAACTCGCCAGTGAGGGAGAAAGCTGTTGTGTCATAGAAGCTGATATAAAGGAAATGTTTCAAACAGGAAAGAGTAATCAACTGTGTCCAATGTTGCCAAGACAGCAAGTAAGATAAGGATGAACAGCAACAACTAGATTTGTTCACTTGAAGTGCCATTTAATTGAGCACCTAAGATGTAGTAGGATCTAAGTGTTTCTCCTATAACAAATATTCACTCCTCACAACTCTTAAGAGGTAGGTCTTATAATCCCCGTTTATACATGAGGCTCAAAGAGGACAAATAACTGGAATTTCACAGCTAGAATTCAGTGCCTACTTTGGGTAGAGACAGGAGATAAACTTGTTCAGTTAACAATTCTTATAAAATAGTTTATGTGTATTTCAAATAAATCATGATTATTGATGAGGACTCATAATTTGTTAGGTACCTATAAAATAACAGTGTTTTTTAAATAAGGAAAACTAAATGAGGTTTAAATTAAAAATATTCGAGCTATTTGTATACATTTGTACTTACTGACTTGTACGTAAGGATTATAGCAAATACAAGCAAAACATTAATTTTTCATGCACATTAAAATATTTCAACCAATTTTCTATTAGAATAAGGTTTTTAATATTCATATTTAACTGAAGCGACTCAAAAAATTGTTTGCAATCCTTATCAAGGTTATAATTGGCTTGCAAATTAGGTTCCACCAGCCAGCTAGTAAGATTCTTTCTACAAAATTGAGGGATTTTTCTTTTCTAATTGAAAGCCACTGATAATAAGATGTTTATTTGAAATAAGGTATCTGCATTTTTCAGTAAGCCAATATTAAGTTACTCTGAGTTAAAGAGGGTAGCCTGAATGTAAATGCAGGAAAGGGTTTCTATTTCTTGCATCAATGAGAACTAATTTTGCATATAAAGAAAAATGTGCAATCTCCATTTATGATAAAATTTACTTTCACATTTTCTGATCACTGAAAACAATTTACATTTAAAGTGCCATATTTGCTTTTTCTTCCAGAACAAATATGCTTTTTGAAAAAAATTTAAATTAGAGCTTGATCTTCAACAAGAGGGTAACAGTTATGAGTAATCCCAAGGATCATTCTAAAATTTCCACGTATTAAAAATAGGTGTTGATTATTCTAGTTCAGTTTTACTTTCGACATATGAACTTAAGTTATCTGATCCATGTTATGACTTACTTCTTTGTGGCAATCAAACTGAAAACTATCATCTCATACAAGCACCCTTAGAAAAAAACTTTTCTCAGCTGTCAAAAGAAAATTGTTAAAAAATGACACATTTATTTGGGACAATTATGAACTAGGATGTAACCTGGTCTTAAAGGAAAAGGAATATATTTAGTTCTATTAGCATAGGTGGAATAATGCCTTAAATAGTAGAAATAATCTTAGGCAATTTCTTTCTACTTAAGGCAATGTTACCAGTCAAGAATAAAAGCTTTTTTTTCCCATTTCTTAACATGTATTGTCTCCAAATTTATCAGAGCAAATTATAGTTCTTTTTTCTGGTTTCTAAGACAGATGACCATACCATGCCTAGTTTTCACTCATTTTAATAATTATAATAAGTTAAATTACCAAGATTTACCATTAAAGGATTTGGTGGTCTAAATAAGGTGACTTTATCACAGAATATGTGGTATAATGTACAGAAATTTTCCATATATGAGAAAAATGTTTTAAAAGAGGGTACTAATTTATTTCTCATAAGACAAGATTATTTAAATGCTTCCATTGTAAAGGATTAAAATATAAATCCAAAATACGTAATGTGTAAAAAATCATCAAGTTTCCTATTTGTACAGTTACTGAGATCTACTCTCTGGTAGATAGCTTCATATGCTTTCCTGATAGAGGATGGTGGGATGGTGGAACAAGGTATTTGAAATTATAGGGCATGGATTGGAGAACCATTCTATCATTTATCAGGTATATGTGAATGTACTTTGTGAACTTACAGGTATTGTATATGTATTTATTATTTCCACTACCTTAAGAGTATTTGTATAGTGGATGTTAGAAAGGCTTAGGTTCACAATATGCCACAATATGCCATAATGTTAAGGATCTCACAACATGCCACAATACTAAGTATTGAGAAGTAGCTGGAAAAAAATCTCTATGTTCCAATCAACAAAAATAATTCAGATGAAAAAATTACCTTAGCATTTCAAGCAAATCAATGTCCTTCATAAACTCATATTGGGGCCTACATTACCTAAAACGGCTGCTTATGTATTTGGTTTTCCTTCCTGTCAGGGAAGACATTTCCTAAATTGTATGTAAAGTTCTAATAAATTCTGCTTTTAACAAATACTAAGCAGTATATTTAAAAACTCTAGTAAATAAAATAAATCTGCATATAAAATTAGAATATATTTTTTATGAAAATATAGTTAAATATATACAATATTATATTGATTTCAAGTACACACTACAGTGATTATACAGTTATTTACACTATTAATTAAATGCTCATCCTAACTAGTGTAATTACTATCGGTCAGCACATAGAAAGATGTTACAGAATTATTGACTACATTCTCTATGTTGTACGTTCACCATCTCCCCCCAAAATTAAAAGGTATTTTATTGAATAATATTCAACATAATTGAAGTTGTACTTCGTAATTAAAAGAAAATATCTGTTAAGACAGAGTCTCAACTGAAAATTTAAATATAAATTAAGTCACCATTTAAAAAAAATATATGGGGTATTCAACAAAATATTAGCAAACCAAATTCAAAAATACATTAAAAGGATCATACACCATGACCAAGTGGGATTCATCCCAGGGATGCAAGGATGGTACAACATTCGAAAATCCATCAATATCATCCACCACATCAACAAAAAGAAGGACAAAAACCACATGATCATCTCCATAGGTGCTGAAAAAGCATTTGACAAAATTCAACATCCATTCATGATAAAAACTCTCAACAAAATGGGCATAGACGGCAAGTACCTCAACACAATAAAGGCCATATATGATAAACCCACAGCTAACATCATACTGAACAGTGAGAGGCTGAAAGCTTTTCCTCTGAGATCAGAAACAAGACAGGGATTCCCACTCTCCCCACTGTTATTCAACATAGTACTAGAGGTCCTAGCTACGGCAATTAGACAAAACAAAGAAATACAAGGAACCCAGATTGGTAAAGAAGAAGTTAAACTGTCACTATTTGCAGATGACATGATACTGTACATAAGAAAACCCTAAAGACTCCACTCTAAAACTACTAGAACTAATATCAGAATTCAGCAAAGTTGCAGGATACAAAATTAACACACAGAAATCTGTGGCTTTCCTATACACTAACAATGAACTAATAGAAAGAGAAATCAGGAAATCAATTCCATTCACAATAGCATCAAAAAGAATAAAATACCTAGGAATAAACCTAACCAAGGAAGTGAAAGACCTATACCCTGAAAACTATAAGACACTCTTAAGAGAAATTAAAGAGGACACTAACAAATGGAAACTCATCCCATGCTCCTGACTAGAAAGAATTAATATCATCAAAATGGCCATCCTGCCCAAAGCAATATACAGATTTGATGCAATCCCTATCAAATTACCAACAACATTCTTCAATGAACTGGAACAAATAGTTCTAAAATTCATATGGAACCACCAAAGACCCCGAATAGTCAAAGCAATCCTGGGAAGGAAGAATAAAGTGGGAGGGATCTCACTCCCCAACTTCAAGCTCTGCTACAAAGCCACAGTAATCAAGACAATTTGGTACTAGCACAAGAATAGAGCCACAGACCAGTGGAACAGAATAGAGACCCAGACATTAACCAAAACATATATGGCCAATTAATATATGATAAAGGAGCCATGGACATACAATGGGGAAATGACAGTCTCTTCAACAGATGGTGCTGGCCAAACTGGACAGTTACATGTAAGAGAATGAAACTGGATCACTGTCTAACCCCATACACAAAAGTAAATTCAAAATGGGTCAAAGACCTGAATGTAAGTCATGAAACCATAAAACTCTAAGAAAAAACCATAGGCAAAAATTTCATGGACATAAACATGAGTGACTTCTTCATGAACATATCTCCCTGGGCAAGGGAAACAAAAGCAAAAATGAACAAGTGGGACTATATCAAGCTAAAAAGCTTCTGCACAGCAAAGGACACCATCAATAGAACAAAAAGACATCCTACAGTATGGGAGAATATATTTATAAATGACACATCCGATAAAGGATTGACATCCAAAATATATAAAGAGCTCACACACCTCAACAAACAAAAAGCAAATAATAAAATTAAAAAATGGGCAGAGGAGCTGAATAGACAGTTCTCTAAAGAAGAAATTCAGATGGCTAACAGACACATGAAAAGATGCTCCACATCACTTGTCATCAGAGAAATGCAAATTAAAACCACAATGAGATATCACCTCACACCAGTAAGGATCACAACCATCCAAAAGGCAAACAACAACAAATTTTGGCGAGGTTGTGGAGAAAGGGGAACCCTCCTATACTGCCGGTGGGAATGTAAATTAGTTCAACCATTGTGGAAAGCATATGGAGGTTCCTCAAAATGCTCAAAATAGAAATACCATGTGACCCAGGAATTCCACTTCTAGGAATTTACCCTAAGAATGCAGCACTCCAGTTTGAAAAAGACAGATGCACCTCTATGTTTATCGCTGCACTATTTACAATAGCCAAGATACGGAAGCAATCTAAATGTCCATCAGTAGATGAATGGATAAAGAAGATGTGGTACATATACACAATGGAATATTATGCAGCCATAAGAAGAAAACAGATCCTACCATTCGCAACAACATGGATGGAGCTAGAGGGTATTATGCTCAGTGAAATAAGCCAAGCGGAGAATGACAAGTACCAAATGATTTCACTCATCTGTGGAGAATAAGAACAAAGAAAAACCGAACGAACAAAACAGTAGCAGAATCACAGAACCCAAGAATGGACTAATAGTTACCAAAGGGAAAGGGACTGGGGAGGATGGGTGGGAAGGGAGGGACAAGGGTGGGGAAAAAGAAAGGGGGCATTACAATTAGTATGTATAGTGGCGGGGCGGGCACGGGGAGGGCTGTGCAACACAGAGAAGACAAGTAGTGATTCTACAGCATCTTACTATGCAGATGGACAGTGACTGTGAAGGGGTATGTGGGGGGAATTGGTGAAAGGGGGAGCCTAGCAAACATAATGTTCTTCATGTAATTGTAGATTAATGATACCAAAATTAAAAAAAAATAAATTAAAAAAAAAAGGCAAGAGGAATAATAAAATATACATATATGGTTTCATGACCTTTCCTGTGTAGGGTCTGATTAGAATCTCATGTTGTCATTTTTGTATGAAACACAGTCTTTTCCTAAGGTCTACTAATGTAATTTTTGTTTTCTTAAAGTAAAAGAAGCTCTTAAAGATATTTGCAAAGCAATCTGAAGTTCTGTTGCAAAGTTTTTCACCCATACCTGACTTTTAGGTAATTCTTAAAAGAACCTCATCTCTCCAGATACGTAGCTTAGTTTTCATAAAAACAATTGCTTTTTCTCTTCATTTATATAATTTTTAAAATTAAATTATGTAATTACAGCAAAAATTACAACTGGCCTCCGCCATTTGGGAAGAATGGCAGTGGAATGCTGAAGCGAGCTCCCAGCAGTTCACAACAGCCAACTGGATGCATCTTTTCCCAGCGCTTTATTTATTGGCCTCATCTGGCTGGTTTACATCAGCCATGGTGGGAATGTTTATACCATGGATATCAGCAAACAGTATAAATCAAGCTTTTTTTTCTTCAGAAAGCTAGGTATTAAACATTAACCAGCATACCACAAGTACCGGGTATACCAGCAAACAGCCCACTGAATAAGACTCTTTAGAATGTTCTAGGCTTCAGCCAAGACATTTTTAAGAGAAATGGTAAAGTAGAATATGGTTAAGAAAGTTTCTACTTTAAGAGGGGCCAATGGAGATCAATAATTACTTTTTATGTCTTTTAAGTGTTACTGAGATGACAAACTGAATCACATTTTTCTTTGACAGAAGTAACATAATATTATTTATCTTTCAAATATTTAAGGAAGATAAACATCAGTTACAAATAGTATCTTTAGATATACCTTTATTGCGTATGTTTATCTCCTATAATTGTATCTTCCACAAATCAAAATAATTAGGAAGAAAAAAATAACATTTTAGCAAAATAAAGAAATGGAATAAAATTAGAGAGCAGGGACCAAACACGGAGATGAAGTAGAGAATAGGAATTGTAGATGAAGACAAGTGAAAGATGCCAAATAGTTAAATCCATTAATTATATCATTATTAAGTAAAGGAAGAGTTTAGAGTTGTGAAAATTATATAAAAATCAAGCTGTCTAAATATCATGGAATAAACCACCTTTTCATCTAAATATATGGCTTCCAAGGAAATAAAGCATCTAAGTACATGGCTTTAAGAAGTAACAAATTATGACTAAATAGAAAGTTGAAATGTATTCTTTCTTAAGTAAGCTATCAGGTCTAAAACCCATAGATTCTATATTCTTACCGTTTTGTGATCATTCACAATCATAAGTTCCAAATATTTCATTTCTTCAAACACACCACGAGATGGCTGGAGAAAATAAAAATACCTAGTTATAATGGTAGTGAATATAAAATATCTCTGATGTTGGCTATTAAGCTGTAGACTGAATTTCAGAACTCTTTGCCTCCTACTTTATAAACACCAGAAACTTGATTGAAGAAATAAAAAGAATTTATAAAGTATGGGTAAACATTCAAGTATTCAGGAAAGGATTATATTTAATTATCATTATAGTACTTATCAAGATAGAGGACAGCCTATGTTGTTTTTATATGACTTTTATGTAAAAATAGTCCAGAGAAAATGTACATTATAATTCTGTTAAAATAAATCTCAATTTCTTTGGCATTAAAATGTGATTAAAAAATTCATATCTATTGAAGAGTCAAAGAATATATTTAAAACTCATTTAATAAAAATAGCACAGTACATCTGGAACAGGTATCCATGTAGTCAAATAGAAACATTAAGTCAATGGAGTGAAATGCTAATAACAATATATTAATTCTTAACCACACAACTTTTCAAAGAAACAAACACTGATAATTACTATTTTCTAAATCTTCTAAAATTTTATTATTATTAAACAATCCTTTAAAAGCAGGACTAAGTTCTTTAGCCATCATTTGGACTTTTTTTTAGTAGTTGGAAAACAAAATTTTCTTTATGTACATGGTCACTGGTCAGTTTATATTTGGTAAGAGTGGACTGTAGAGAAATGTCAGTAGCCTATATAAAATTTATTAATACAAAACACATCTTCAAGAGTAAGCAAAAAGAAATTTCTAAGTATAAAAAAAATCCGTAATCACCATAATACAAAGACAGCTCATAAAAGAGAATAATTTAACCTATAACTAAGTTTTTGATGGCAGATGGTCTAATTTCACAAAGCAATACATTCAGCAAAACATTAACTAAAATGTACAATTTCTAGTATAATTACTCATTAAGTTATCTAGTAAATTACCATGTAATCTATATGCTGTGGAATTAATTCTCAGTTACATAGCATTCACCATGTAATTACTAGACAGTCCCCACCATTACAGCTTTCTAATCTATTATGAAAAAGACTAGGAACATAATTTCAGTAACAAAGCCCTATACATTTATCAATACATGGGAGCTATACAACAGTTGTTGATTATATAATTATATGATTCTTGTTTAGTAACTAACATGATACTAATGGTCAGAGAGATTCATTCTGTTCAGAAAAACACATCCAGCTTCAAAATTTGGTGTACCAGTTTTTACTTTGAAAGAAATACAAATAAGAGTAATTAGACAACATTTCAAAACTTACCCCTGCTCCCTACTTTTTTGCTAACGGAAATGTTTTGTTATGGAAGGCATATTTTAAAAAGTCTGCTGTGCTTTCAATAAAAAAAACCCCTGCAATTTTCATATGAAACACTTGGAAAATAAAGCTAAAACAATACATTCCTTTTATGATATCAGAGTTCATAGAACACCATCATCGGTTTATATCACCAACAGGAATAACTGAATAAAAAAATTGCCTGTAAGACTCAAATATACCTCTAAGACTCAAATCAGAGCAGGTTTTGGTTTGTTGTTTTTGTTTGTAAGAGGAAGCTAGCCAATCTAAACTGCTATAGGTACCCTTAGCTACTGGGTGATGACAGGCACAGTATGCCACTGAGTGAAATAGCCCCACCCATGGCTCAATGCCACACTCACATTCACTGCTCGCTTCCTTCTCCTCTTCAGCCACTTTAACTCAGATAGAAAGGGCCACCGGGCATTGCTTTCCATACCTGTGTAAAAGAAAAAGGAATTCTGAAATTTATATTTGACTGCATTTCAATGGGAATGTTTTAAAAATATTATGTGAAGGAATAGTGACATTGATAGCAATGTCATCTCAAAACCAAAATAAACTAAGGAGAAAAAGTACATCAATCTTTAAGCATTTCACACTCTTGCGGTCACAAATATAACTCAATCTGTAATTCTCAAATTATAACTTAAAGTTCAACTATAATTTTCTGCCATACATCATCAAAAACATAATGAGGTGTTCAAGGCTTATTAGAATAAGCAGAATGACCTACAGCTACCTGACCCACAACATCTGAAAATTTAAGAGAATTCTACTATGCTTAATTAATGTTAGAATTAAAAACAATGTATGGCATAAGCTTATGCATAATTAAAGACTCTGTCATTAATATACAGAAGTAACACTGCATACCCCAGTAATCCAAAAGCAGCTTTTGCCAGCAATGGCATCTTAGATGCCTTAGGACCAGAATGTGAGAGAGAGAAGAGTGGTAAACTGCCAGGGAAATTTAAGGACAAACCACACTGTAAATCACTCTTAAGTTTGGCCATATCCTCTGGTTCTTAATGCAGCTTCTTACTTCGGTCTTTCCATCAGAAACAACTGCCCATGCCTCATCACACGGAACACAGTTCACTGCTGACAGATACTGCTCACTCCAGATCTCAGAGCAAAGCCTCTTTGCAACAAGCCTATGTGTCTACTGGGTCCCATCAAAGTCGTGGCTTCTATTACGTAAAATATAATGGATATTATTAAAACTCACTGAGATTCTTCATTTGCTTAGAATATTGTCCTGCCAAGGTTTTCTGGATCACATGTGGTCGGCCTGTGCTTTTCTGAAATGAAAACAATTGTAGACAATTAAAAAGCAAGATGTCATCAACCGTCTATGGGACAGTGTTAGAACTTTCTCTAAGATCCTTTCTAAAATAAGAACATTTATACACTAACGTTCTAGCTATGAAAAATGAAAAGCTTATGTGATATTGAAAACTTTAATTTTAAATAAAATAGAGCATCATGCAATTATTCCAGTTTAGAGAAAAGCATAGTTTTATTAGCTACTCTCAAACCTTAGCTTTCTTCAAAGCAATGAATGAGAAATTGATAAGAAAAACACAAATGGTCAATGAATATGTGAAAAAATAGTAAGTAATACTTCTTCAAAATGCAAATTTAAAAAATTCATTTTTGCCATCAAGTTGCACAGTATTTTAAAAATTATAATAACCATAGCTAACTACTATTACAAGGCAAAAAGCACTTTCATACACTGCTAGTAGACTGGTATGTAGTTCAGAGAGAAATTTAGTAATATCTATCAATGACCTTGAAGATATTCATATCCTTTGCCCCAGAAACTACATTTCTGAAATGCCTTATTTCCATTGTTATTATTAATATTAGCTTCCATTACTGAGTACATAGTATGTGCCAGGCACTGTGGATGTACATACTACCCAATTTAATCCTCATAAGAATGCCATACAATACATATTTTATCTCCATTTTACAAATAAAAATATTGAGGCTCAGAGAGATGCATTACTGAGTTAAAATTATATTACAAAATAATGATCCAATTAATTTTTTAAATATGGGAATATATCATTGAACTGGAAGATTACACACTGAAAAGTGAAGAGAAATTTCTCTTAGAGATGGATGAAGCGTAGTTACTACTTATTTTGCTTTTCCAAATTTGCTACAATGCATTAGTTTTATAATCAGAAAAACAGTTACAAAGAGGTGTTCTTAATAGATACACAAAGACTTACAATATTTAAGAGTTTTGCTATTCATTTACTACTTAGAGATAATATGAATTATCATTAGAAATATTCCATTCATATCACTTGACTTATTGTAAGCATACTAAAATTAATAATAATAATCTAAACATCAAAAACTCTAAATTTGAGTACAGTAAACTCTAGTAACAGGTGAACAGATACCTAGAATAATGAAACTCACAACTGGATTAGCAACACAATTTTAAAAATTGCCTAAGTTTCAAGCACTGTTCTTTTCCCTCTACCCATGATGAATATGAGGACATATTGTTACATGAACTAAAGGTAGGTGGCAAGAAGGAAGGCAAAAAAGAAAAGCCATTAAGCACGTAACAATCAGACCCTGAAGAATATGGTATGGGTATAACAATGCAAAGCTAATGCTCTAAGCATTAGGATAATAACAGTTAATTATAAATCTTTTCAACCATTCACTAGACATAGTCACACACATTTATTAATTCATCAAATCTGCAAGGTTGCCCTATTTGGATTTCATGGAAAAATGATCTCATATTATATATTTAAAAACACTAAGGCTTAGGGAGCTTTAATTTTGTTTTTGTTTTGTTCTTTGTAGTTTAGGGTTTTTTTTAAAGGTAACAGTGCCATTAATCAATGTCAGAATTCAAAGTCAATTTTTTGCTGAATGAGTCAATAATTTGCTATATATAGGTTAAGTATCTACCACTGGAATAGGGGCAAACATTTAATCAAAATGATTTTTTCCGGGTGAGATTTTCTTTGCTATCTGGTAACTTTTATGCTTACTAGTTGAAAAATAATACAGGTTTACTAAAAAATTAACCATTTAATGAACTAAAGAACTAAATATAAGACATGAAGCCATAAAACTCACAGAAGAAAATACAGGCAAAAATCTCTTAAACATAAGCATGAGCAATTTTTTTCTGGACACATCTCCTTGGGCAAGGGAAACAAAATAAAAAATGAACAAGTGGGACTACATCAAACTAAAAAGCTTCTGTATAGCAAAGTTCACCATCCACAGAACAAAAAGCAACCTACAGTCTGGGAGAGTATACTCTTAAACAATTTCTCTGATAAGATGTTAGCATTCAAAATATATAAAAAACTCATATACCTCAACACCAAAAAAAAACCAAATAGCCCAATTAAAAAATGGGTGGAGGAGCTCAACAGATACTTTTCTAAAGAAATACAGATGGCCAACAGGCACATGAAAAGATGCTCCACATTGTTAATCATCAGGGAAATGCCAGTCAAATTACAGTGAAGTATCACCTCAAGCCAGTCAGAATGACCGCTATCCAAAAGATAAGAAATAACAAGTATTGGAAAGGATATGGAGAAAAGGGAACTTTTCTACACTGTTGGTGGGAATGTGAATTGGTGTAGCCACTGTGGAAAGCAGTATGGAGAGTCCTCAAAAAACTCAACAGAGAAATACCATACAGCCCAGTAATCTCACATCTAGGAATTTACCTGAAGAAAACAAAACCCCTGATTCAAAAAGATACATGCACCCCTGTGTTTACTGTCACATTATTTACAATAGCGAAGGTATGGAAGCAACCAAAGTGTCCAATAATAGATGAATAAATAAAGAGGAGGTGGTACACATACACAGTGAAATATTATTCAGCCATAAAAAGAAAGAAATCCTGCCATTTGTGACACCATGGACGGACTCAAAGGGTATTATGCTAAGCGAAATAAGCCACGTGGAAAAAGGCAAATATCATATGATTTCACTTATTTGTGGAAACTAAAAACAAAACAAAACAAAATGAACAAAACAGTAGTAGACTCATAGACACTGAGTAGTGAAGGTGGTTACCATTGGGGAGGTGTTGGGGTGAGTGGTTGATAACTGTGAGGGGGATAAAGGGGCAAAAAAATCAATCAATATAAATTGGTCTCAGAGATGGTAAGGCAGCATGGAGAATATAGCCAATGGTTCTGTAACATCTTTCTAGGTTGACAGATTGTAAATGTACTAGTTGGAGGGAGGATTTAAAATGTGGTTTGAACCACTGTATTTTATACTTGAAAACAAGATTGTGTATCAAATAATACTTTAATAAAAAAATTAATGACTTAAAATTTAATGGCTTTTCTACCTCAAATTTGAAATTTACCCCATAGTCATATATACATTGCCACCATAAAGAAGATAAATGTTTATCTGTTTGACTATTATTATCAATAAGCTAAATGACTAGTACCTGTTCCAAATTTATTTTATCTATATTTGAAATCTCTAAAGATAAAAAATACTTTTCTGCTCCCCATCAAATGATTTGTTCTGATTCTACTCCTCCCAAAATACTATTTTCTCATTATCAGTTCTTTTTTACTGACATGACTTCCCTCCTACTACCTCTCAGTCTCTTCATTTCCTAGCATTCTCCCTCTGTCTACTCCTCTACAACCAGGTTGAGTTCCCTGAACTTCTTACAACACACTAGGAAAACTCCTGCCTCAGGGCCTTTGCATTTTGTCTTCTCCTGGAGTTCTTCCAGCCCCCCTAATTTCTTGAAAGTTGTCATTCAAAATGATCGTCTTATTATGCCCTTCCCTAGATAGGTAAAATGAAGGTTTAACTCCACCTTCCTGGCTTCGTTTTTTCTCAACATGTATTACTATCAAACATACCGTATGTAATTACTTAGTCATCCTGCTTACTCCTGTCTGCCCCAGCAGACTGCACACATCATTAAGCCCCAGGTCTGTCTGTCTTGTTCCAGCTTTACCCCAGCACCTATATACTACCTAGCATGTGGTAAGCCCTCATCACAATATTTGATGAATATACAACAAATTTTAAATTAGGCTGCATTCTATTAGTGAGCAACACTATTAGAGTATATGATTTCTTTTCCTTCATCCAGTTTTATTGAGCTATAATTGACACCTAAAATTGTCTAAGTTTAAGATGTACAACACAATGATTTGATATACATGCATATTGCACATTGATCTCTACAACAAATTTAATTAACATCCATCACCTCACAGTTAAAATTATTTTCCTTGCAATGAGAACTTTTAGGATGTACTCTATTAGCAACTTTCAAATATAGAATATCATTTACTATAGTCACCATGCTGTACATTACATCCCCAGAACTATTTATCTTATAACTGGAAGCTTGTACTTTTTGACCACCTTCACCCATTTTCCCACTGGTCTCCGGTAACCACTAATCTATTCCGTTTCTATGAGTTCATTTTTTTGGATTCTGCATATAAGTGAAACCATACAGTACTTGTCTTTCTCTGACTTATTTCACTTAGCATAACACCCTGGTGATTTCTTGTCTAGGTTGCTGGCCTGTGCATGATCTAAATGTTATTTTCTTCCCTATCTCTACAGAAAATGAAATATTACATAATGTAATCACAGCTCAAACCCAGAATTTCCCCTCTGAAGATTCTAAGACTCATAAAACTTAAGTATAGGCTTACGGTCTTCTAAAGAAGAAGTGGGAATAAAAGCCAGTTTAAAGGAAAAGATGTTGGTCAATATAAAACAGAATGTCCTCTTTGTTCTCTATACAGACTGGAAAGAACTGTCCTTTGCTTCAGAAAACCTAGGTTCATTACCTCTTATCATCCCTTACTGATGTGTGGCCTGTTATGTGGCCCCGATGAGAAAAACGACTTTTGTTTTCCTGAACTGCTGCCTAAGCATTTTACAGTATGATAAACCTGTTCACACTCTGAGTTTGGACATTTAGATAAGGACTTGAATTTAGGATTTTCACCCTAAATTTGCTTTTCCCAGGGCACCCTTCAAAATAACCACTTAGAATCAAGTCCAAGGGAAAAAGTGAGTGACTTCCACCCCCAACTGCCTTACAACAGGCGCTTGCTGCCTGCTGTTTCCTGATTGCTGGTAACTTGGGACTGAGAACAGACTGCTCTTCTCCAGCTCACTGTGCCCCTCTCCTCCACTTCTGGGATCCGTAAGTAATGAATCTTACGGCTCTCCTTCCTCTGTGTGGGTGTACTGAAACTGCACTTCAGTCAAAACGACCCTGTGGGTTTCACTTCCCCAGAGCGGGAGCTTAGATGCTACAGGAACTACCTGCAGACCCGATGTTGGTGGCTTGTGCCCCTTATTCAGCCGGTCATAATGTGCATGTTCTTAACTCAGTACACCAGCTCCAGCTTCTCAACACATCTGGGATGTGCTACTTAAGCCTCAAACTCATGGTATCATTCTAAGCTTGACATAAGGTAGTATGTACTAATGCCTGTTGAAATCTACATTATGTTCTCTTTTTGCTCAAAGGCAAAGATGCTGGAAGAATAAAACACCGTAAGGAGACTGATGTCCAGTCAGACTTACCTCATCATGAATCAGCTCCAGTGGTGCTATCATATACACGAAGGTATTATCTTCAAACATACCACTGCAACACAAGAAACCAACAAGGAAAGAATTAACAAATTGAGCCAACCGTAAGAAGTAGTAAGTGTGCTTCATATTTACTGTGTCTTTAAAAAAAAGGACTGTGTCTTCAAAAAAAAAGAGTATATCTGAACAAATGCCTGTATATTGCCCCAAATCTAATGCACTATGATCCCAGCATTGTCCTATTCAACATATAAGCTACAAAAGGTGTAAAAGTGTATACTAAGAGCATCAAATTATACTGATATGATTAATTTCTGACACTAAATGGGAATATTAGAGGATTAATCTGGGACAGAACTATTCATGCAAATCCAATGTCATCTATCACTATAAGAAAAACACATAAGAATAGTCTAAAAGCACCTGATTCTGAAGAGGCAAACAGAAGTATCTTTATGCTTGCAAATTGTGTATTTCCATCAATATGATTCAGTGTTTCAAATCACTTTAATTTTGACAGATACAGGATATTTTTTATAAAGCTCAAAGATAAAATCTTCAAAATCCTTCTTTTTCATATGGCCACCAGATCTTTATATGCAGTGTTACTGTGTTTGGATCTAAAAGGGGCCAACAGATGTTTTCCTAGCACCTGCCTCAAAGCCAATGCCTGAGCTCGGCTCTCTGGTACCCCATCCTCACTGGCTAACACCTGCTTATCCTTAAGTCTAATCTGACTCACGTGTCCTCTGTCATACACCTCTAGGAAACCTTTCTGAACTAGGTTCAGTCATCCCATAAGTCTCTGTCCTTCCCCTTCACAGTACCTGCCAAAATGGCAATTAAATATTAATCTGTGGAATCATTTGTTTAATCTCTGACTCTCCTGAAAACTAAGTGTTAAGAGAGCAGAGACAATGCTCTCAGTGTTCATCCCTCCATAACCAGCCCCTAACACAGAACTGGCACAGAAGAGTCACTACAATAAATTTCTGTGAAAGAGAACATGGAAAAGGTGAATGGATGGAAGCAAGTTCATTCTCCCATGGAGAGTCCCACATACTGAAGTCCATTGCATGTCGACACAGCAGCCCTAGAGTCCTTGACGCCTCTGATGCTTCCTTGGTAGTAACAGTGCTCTCCACCCTACAATGCAGAAGAAAGTTTAACCGATTAATTATACTTTCTGCACTGTGATTCAACCTTAGGGGTGCTTCTAAAAAGCTAAAAGAAATGCAAAGATTGTCCTAGAAACTCCTTCTGGTTGACATGAAATCTCAAAGAACACTAGGCAATATTTCAACTTTTCTAGAAGGAGCATATATATATCAAGTTTAATAAAAGAGAACAGGTTTTAACAGGAATAAGACACTGATGCAACTGGTACAACTTACATACCTGTCTCACACGTGTAAGGGAGTAAATACTTATCAGATATTATATGGAATATGGCCTCTACCTAACTGAGGAAAGACCCCCCCCCAAGGTGTTATTAATAATCATTTTTCATAGAAACTACATAAGACCTTATTATTTGTTTTTTCTACCTTTTAAAATTAGTTTAAAAAATTTTAGAAATATATGTGAACTTAGTTTTCAAAGTCATAGAGTAACTACAAGGCCTATTTTTAAAAACACAGCAGTACCTTTCTCCCTCTCTCCCCACCTCTATGGCAATCATTTTTAACTTTTTTAGCTATTTCTTCTGTTGTTTACCTATGTATTTCTGAACGGAAGAGTTATACTGTTATGTCCTGATTTATTTCACTTAAGAAATAATCTCCCTAACACAGAATTTTGAAAACCCTTCTTGCCTCTGATACACATCACCAGTTTTTGGTTAAATTAACATTTAGTGTTATAATTATGCAAATATTGCTCACAGATGTACCATTGTGATTATACTTTCCTTCTTGCTCCACTTTTAATTTTTTTAAGAATCTTTGCTTCACTTTCTCATTTGCTTATTTTTCCATGTACTGAGCATTTACATACCCTCCATTATCTAGAATTATCTACAACTTTTCTCGTAAGGTCAAACATATTAGGTAATTCATCATGTCAACTTGTTCCTGGAGACACCCCTCTTGTCTCCCTTTGACCTCTGTCAGGCCCAGCCCACACCTGCCATCCAGGACTTCTTTACCATCATTCTGCGCATTCCTTTGCCCCCATCTATCAGGAATCCTAGATCCTGTGTCTTTTCTAATTCATGGTCTTACCCTTCCCTTTTATTAAGGCACATTCTCTGCTATTTTCTTGAAAGAGTGTTCATAGAAGATAAATTTTGTGAGAACTTACACCTGTGAAAATTTCTTTTCCTGTCTTCATACTAGATCAACTATTTGGGTGGGTAGAGAATTCTAGACTGGAAATTGTTTCCTCTCAGCATTTTAATGGCATTGTGCACAATCTTTTAACTTCTGTTGCTGTTAAGAATTGAATGTCATTCTAATGTTAGATATTTTCTATGAGTCTATTTTTCCCCTATCAATAAGACTTCAGGAAATTTTGTTTATTCCCATTTTCATGAAATCTCAGGGCATGCCTTGATGTGGGTCTTTGTTTATTCATTGTGCTGGGCACTCTGTCACACCTTTTAATGAAGGAACTGCATGCACTTCAGTTCTAGGAAACATATTACTCCTCTGATAACTCTCTCTTTTGCATTTTTCTCTATAAGCAGAGCTTTTCTACCAAAGTGGAGAAAGGATGGTCACCTGGCTTTATGGGGTATGGAGTAGATCAGGAATTTAAAAATGCTCCATACAGACTTTCAACCAACCTTGCTGTCTTCATGCACCTTCAGTTCCTGTGCCTTTGTGGGTGAAGTGACATGATTTCACTTGCTTCCTCTTGGTTTCCACATATTGGAACTTTGCAGAGTAGGAAAGGCTCAAACCTGTTACCCCTCATCCATCTGCTCTCTATCCCCTAAGATTTTATGGACCTTCTCATATACTGTCTTTTCCTCTCTTTGTTTTCATCCCTGTGGGTTTATATCCTTTTTTATTCCTTAACTGTTATTTGAGTGGGTTTGGGAGGGAATAATAGTAAATATAAGTGTGGAATCCACATTGTTTAGCCAGAAGTTACCTATTTATTTTCTTAAATAGAATATACTGAACACACTTTTACTTTTATTGATGATTTACAGTCATTCTGATCACTGCTCATTATGTATTACAGTAGCCTCAGAGGTCATTTAAAGCACCTAAGATATTCATCAACACATCAAATGACCACTCCCTAACCAACTCCATTCATTTCCTCTTAATAACTACAATACAAATTTTAAAGCTGATTGTCTAAAGTTGGTATTATAACCCTGTTAATATTTTATAAAGGGTTGCTTTGTAAAAGGTTTAATTCTCTAAAAGCAACCTTGTATACAATATTAACTTGTATATAGTATATCAAGTTTTACTTGCATATTCAACATGGGAACTTATAAGAAAAAAAGATATCACACATCTCAGCAATTTGAGAATCCAGGCCAATATTCTGCAATTAAATTTCAGGCTCTTCACATGATTCTAAAAACAACCATAAGGAACTGTAAATTCCATCAAACTAGCTATTTAGCACTTGGTATCACACCAAAGGCTATCTTAAGTCAGTTGATTATCAGAAGTGCATAGTGAACTGTCATATTTACTTGACCTTTCTATGAAAAGCTGTATTTTCTAGATTTTCCCAAAAATATTCTTTTTTTCCACAGAAAAGATTTCTGAGTCTTTTGTTAGATTTTAGTTCCATTCACTTTCATCAGAAACTGAAGCCTGGTGAGGCTCTCTCAGCATCATCACGTAAAAGTCATTGCTAGTTATTTCGATTAAGGCAAGATATTATCTCAAGGAACTATTTCAGTTGCCTGTATATTTGAGTGTATATTGAGATCACCATATTTTCTGGACCTTAAATGAGACTTCAAGTAATATCCAATCTCTGGTGTTAATCTTCAACAGAAGCCTTAAACATATAAATTATGCAGTCATATTAAACATACAAGCAATTTGACAGGCTCTAATTTAGTATTAATATTAGTAGTATTAGAGGATCTCTGAGTTTCTTAATACTAAATTTATACCAAGTTTTTAAGAAAGGATTCCCAGAAAAATACTATTTGGCGACTCTCCAGATCTAGGCAGCATTCTATAAATACTACTGCAAACTAACATCTTGAGGTAGTTTGTATTAAAAAATCCTAGTTGAAAAGAGGCATTCAGGTAAATGGTGACATGGGACAGTCAGCTCTGAGGATGCTTTCCCCCAAGGACCTAGCTATCTTGAACACTCACTATCGCACACCACTAACTCCATGTAAAGATAAGGGGACAGTCACCAAGGGCTAAAAGGCTCTGCAAAAGGCAGTAAAAAGCCAGATTGAATCCCGCATCTTCAGGCCCTAAGGTAAGTATTTCCTTCTCTAGTCAGCAGGGCCTCAGACAGTTCAAGAGCAATAGCCAGTGACTTCGATATCACTACCTAACAGTGGGTCACAGATCTGTGACTAGACAAGCAGCAGGCAGGAGAACCAAGAAGGGCTCATTTGGCACATGACAAGGCTGTGTGTGTCCCCACAGGCATCAACATTTTCAGATTCAAAACTGTCCGTCAGTTATTTAAATTCAACAGGAATGGGCATCTGATGTAAGTTATTGGCTAGTCAAAAGAACTTAAAAATCCAACTTTCTCAGCTTGCCACTTCCACAAGCCAGACAATGTTCAAATAATGACAACTTTGTCCCATATGGTTGCCAAGCTCAGAACCCCATTGGAAATCACCATGCCACTATTGCAAATAATGAAACACTGAATGTGTACCCTTTAAAACACTTCTTAATCAAAGTGGCTGGGGACAACAACTCTGAGTCTGTCATTATAACCTAGAGAGGATAAAAAATTTGGTTCTCTGGTATCATCGATCAAAAGACAAAACAGTTTTATTCTACTCACTTTAGATACAACCTATTGGAAATAGGACTATATTGGAAAGAGAACCTATTGTTTCAACTTAATTTGTTATAAGATTGCCCCACTTTTGTGTGTTTACTTATCTCATCTGCTACAGTAAAGTTCAATCAGCCAATTCTTATTATCTTCATTACTTTAGAAATTCACAAACCTGGGCATTACAGTGACTAAGCCCTGATGTTTTCTATGAACTCCTGAATGTCTAGATAAACATTTAAAAGAAACTGCATAGAATTTAGCTCAGAAATATGTGTATTTTGATATCTCAGGTTCTTTATATAACAATGGAATATGATACTATATTTAAATGATTATTCTATATCCATATCATTAAATACTTCAAGCTTATCAATCATCAGGATGTACTAATCTATTTAATAAATCAGTGGACTGGTAGCAAAAGAGGAAAAGGTATCTATAATTGGACACATATGCCTGAATTTGAATACTGAAGAATAAGGAAATGAAAAGAGTACTTTAGAGAATCAGTGAACTTGAGACCCAAACACCAGTTTAATTATTTATGTGGACTAAACTCAATGGCAGGGGGTGGGACGTTTAAGCATTAAAACAGGCTGTATCAATGCTATATGTATTTTTAATAGTTCATACAAAATTACACTATTCAAACTTAAAATAGCTTTGTGAGATGCCAGCGTTGTCTATTTTCTTGATTTCATAGGGAATTTTTTTAACTTCCCAGCCAGGAGCAGTGCCACAGAGGCCTACTCCTTCTGGACAGTGGACAGACTCCCCCTGTTTCTTGACAATCCCTGTCAAGAAACCTTCATGGAAAAAGTGAGCTTGCACTGAGCCATAGGGATGGTTTGATAAGGAAAGCACAAAAAAAAGTTCTAAGAGGGCCATGTGATTATAGTGATAAAGAAAATAACAAAGGAAGGACTTTCACCTGTTTGGTTGACTGATGGACATCCAGCACCTGGAACAGTGACTAGATCAGAGTAAGCTAAATCAACATCTTTTTAATGAGTGACTAAGAATGGCTTCTTCTGAGCCTAAGTGGCAAGCCTAATTTTAAGGAGAAGAGTCATGTTTGTGGGTAAATAAACCCCCATCACCCACCTGAGGGTTTTTTTTTTTCTTATGGCATGTCATTGACAAATGATAAAAACTCACTCTTTTAAGGAGGACAGTTCAGTAGTTTTTAGTATATTCACAGAGTTATGCTACCACCATGACTAATTCCAAAATATTTTCATTACCTCAGAAGGAAACTATACCCATTAGCAGTCACTCCCCATTCCTCCTTACCCTTCAGCCTGGAGCAACCACCAATCTACTTTTGGTCTCTATGGGTTTGCCTATTCCGGCAAGTAAAGTAAATCATTTCAAGTAAATGGAATCACATAACATGTGGTTCTTTGTGACTAGCTTCTTACACTTAACACGTTTATAAGATTCATCCATGTATCGGTACTTTATTACTTTTTATGGCTGAGTAATATTCCCTTATGTGGCTATACCACCTTTTGTTTAGTCATCAGTTGATGGACATCTTGGCGGCTTATGCTTTTTTGCTATTATGAATAATGCTGCTATGAACATCCATGTACAAGCTTTTGTTTGGAAGTATGCTTTCAATTCACTTGGATATATACCTAGGAGCAGAACTGCTGGTAAGTAAGGTAACTATGAGCTTGACCTTCTGAGTTTCCCAAAGCAGCTCCACCGTTTACATTCCTGCAAGTATATGGGGGTTCCAGTTCTTTACAGCCTCACCAGCACTTGCAATTGTCCAGCATTGTGATCGTAACTATCCCAGTGGCTGTGAAGTGTTAGCCACCAAAGTTTAAAACCAAATGAGAGAGTTACACAGGACTGACACGGAGATCAAAGTACCATGTTCATTTCTGACAGCACTGCACCAGAGGAAGCAATTAGCTGAGAAGCCAATAGGCCTATGATGCTACAACCCTGAGTTAGCTAGACTTACCCACCCAGGCACAGACACAACGGGACAGCACAGCTTCCCTCCAAACACACACACACACATACATGGGCTGCCTCTGTACAACTGAAGAGCATGGAGAAGTAGAGATAATGTGCTCTTCCTACAGGGAGGTGGATCTCACTAAAGAAGAGAGGAAGGGACTAGGCAGACATGCCCAGCACCTTCCCATTAGTTAAAAGCCACTCTTCTTTTCTGGGCAGGGGTGAGGGACAGGAAGAAGCGAGGGTGAGAAAACAGAACTAGGAAAGCACATTTTCCCCAGCCAGTAACAGTGCAGAGTTATACGGTAGTGGGAAGTAGGGATGGGAGCACTGTGTCTATTCAGTCTTCCACTGCTGGCCAGGTGGCAATTTATTTTATGAACATAAGAGAGAACAAAGTACTAGCAAATACTATAAAGTTAATGGGACTTAGTAGAAATAGGATAAATTTGAAAAGTACTTGTATACTGTTACATTGATGTCTAAAACTTTCATAAGAACTAAAATGCTAAAAATTAACTTGTGTTTAATAAGTTCATCAACAAAGTTGATCAACAAATTAACGAAATTGTTCTCTTATACATATTGTGTAAAGTACTGTGGTAAGAACTCTAACAAAAGCTGTCGCTCTGTTAGGTGGAGAACAGAAGTTCTTCCACATGAATTTAGTGATACCCGGCATCTATTCTATATTGCCTACTTAATTTATTGACCTCTCCAGTTCCTATATATGCTTCACAAGGAAAGAAGCCCTTTGAACTCACTTTTGTCCAGTAAATTTAAAAACCTAAAGACATTAGCCTCCTAGCTAGAAGTGGGAACTAGGTAGGGACTTGATAGAGGTGCCGGGGGGGAAACCTGGACAAGATTCTTCAAAGTGTGGATTCATTACTTTGTTTGAAGTTAATTCACAGAATATCTTAAAAGTCCACATTCATAGTCAAGTTCAAAGCCAAACAAGCCATCAGTGATTTTACTCCCCTATAGTCACGTGAATAATAGTATGTGTGTGGGCACAGGTACATGTATTTGTCTATGAATAGTTTTACATCTTTGGAAAAAAGGTTGTGTAAAAATATTGTGTAAAAACAGGTTTATTTAACCTAGCCAGTCTTACACATTAATTTCCTTTGCTGGTGGTCTGTACAGAGATTTTCTTAAGCAACATGTAATACAATGTGAAGCTGAAAAAAAAACGTTTTTTAGTATGTACGTACTGGTAGTGGTAGCATGAATTTATGTGAACTTTCAGAAAGAACCATCAATATGTACGAGAAACTTTTTTAAAGATGTGTTAAAAATGTACCTGGAAGGCCTTTTCCTTAGAGTTATTTGTATAGTGAAAGACTGGAAACAATCGAAACATCTATTACTATGAGATTAAACAAACTGTAGTAAATGAATAAGAAAGAATACTATACTATACATTTTTAAAAATAAAAGTTTAGAACATTATATAATGCATGTTTATAATATTGTTAGGTTAAAAAGATCCTGCTACAAGATGGTGTGCACCATATTATCTTGGTGCCCATGCCCTTTGCCCACTTTCTATTGGGCTATTTACCTTTTTACTTGGTTTTGGCTCCTTATGTTAAGGATAACAACCCTTGGTGTTTCACATATTTTCCAAGTTTTTTCTCAGTCTTCCTTGAAATTGTGTTTATGGTGGTTTTTTTTTTTTGGTATCATTAACATACAATTATACGAGCAACATTGTGGTTACTAGATTCTCCTCATTATCAAGTTCCCACCATATACTGACTGCATTACAGTCACTGTCCATCAGCGTAGTAAGATGCTATAGAATCCCTACTTGTCTTCTCTGTGCTATACTGCCTTCGTGGTGCCCACCCCCCTACATTATGTGTACTAATCGTAATGCCCCTTATTCCCCTTATCCCTCCCTTCCCACCCATCCTCCCCTTTCCCTTTGGCAACTGTTAGTCCATTCTTGGGTTCTGTGAGTCTGCTGCTGTTTTGTTCTTCAGTTTTTGCTTTGTCCTTCTGCTCCACAGATGAGTGAAGTCATTTGGTACTTGTCTTTCTCTGCCTGGCCTTTTTCACTGAGCATAATACCCTCTAGCTCCATCCATGTTGTTGTAAATGGTAGGATTTGTTTTCTTCTTCATGGCTGAATATGTTTATGGTATTTTTAATTCATGGATGTTAAAACATTTTTTATAATCTTCACTATTATTATTTATAACTTCTGGATTTAATACCATGTGCAAAAAGTCCTCTCTTAATATTCAGCTGTATTTCTGGCTTCATTTTAAAGCATATATTAGCACATAGTATTAGTTTGGTATTAAATCAGACACATAAGAAACAGACTGTCACAATTCATTATATATGAAGCAAGTTAAGTTTGGGTTTATGAGCTATTTGGAGAAAAATGGGTCATAAATAAGGGGAAAACAATGAGCACAAAGACAAACTACCATTTTGCCAGAGTTGAAATACACTTTGTTTTTAATTTTTGTTACAGCTGATAGGAGGTAACGATGTGTCTTACCAACGATGAGGCCTCCTTTGGAACCTCAGATGACCTCTGGAGGCCAATTAGCTATCTGCTTCCCAAAAAAACCCTGAACTGTCTTAGTGAGAAGCTTGGATCAGGTTACTGTGGCCTGCAAGGGTGGCCCATTTGCTGAGTCTATAAAGTTCTCATGCCGGCTTCTCCACTCCAGAATCATGATTCAGCATCCGCAGGGCGCTCAGCCCTGGCACAGCTGACAGAAGCTTTGGTTTGTACAAATGCCAGGAAGCACTGTCCCTGCACTTGATTTAGCATTTCTGCTCGCTTTCCACTGCATTAACTCTTAGGGAGATTCAACAATCCCCCAGATGCTGCCTAAGGCAAGAACTGACAGAACAGTAAAAGCAATACGTGGACGTTCTTCATCTATGCCATAAAATTCAAAGGTTTACCGCACACATCAAATCATAAATGTGCCCACTGTTAACTGGACAATTATAAATCCTGAGGAATTCCATGACCTCCTGGGCAGTATTTACAATTAAGACCACCTATAAATATTTGTTGAGAGGCTCTCACACTGACAAACCCAGTAGTCTACGCTCACAAACCAGCAAGCCGTTCTCAAAAGATCTACTTTTGTGCTGAGACTTGCTAGTAATCTAGAAAAAAAAAATCCAAACTTTCCCCGCTTTGTTTCTCTGTTTCTGCTGCCATGCGTGTGGTGCCCACAGACCCTGCTAGGCTCAAGAGTACTCTGTGGCCTTCCTACAACCCAGTCTCTGGATGTAGCCATTTCAGAGATTTTTGCTGTGCCTAGTAGAGCTCACTGTGTTCTTTACATATAATAATCTCTCTCATTTTCATGAAAACTCACTTGTTCCTTATTGATTCTCTATGAAGAGAAAGCCAATCCTCATCTGAAGGAAATCCAGTAACCAATTAGCTCTATATTACAGTGGCTGGTGGCCTTGAACAGGTTAATTTGCTCTCTCTATCCCTCAATTTTTTCCTTTGCACACGTAAAGAATAAAATCCACCTCATAAAATAGTTCAAAAGATTAACAGGTACAGTGTTCCCTGAATCCTCCTTCCCCAACCTGTTCTCTATCCTCTGCAGACATCAAAGTCACTTGGACTAAATAGTCATTCTGACAACCCATCCTGTCCCACGATTCAGATTCTATGATCGCGAGCCTGGTTATACAGCTCTTTATGGCATTCACTTACATAAAATACTGTATGTATAATGAAAACAATAAACATTTCTTTATTGGCTTTATACAGGATCTCTGTAACTTCAAACATTCATAAGTTTTAATGAGTTTATCTTAAACTTATTTAAGATTTAAAATCAGTACCCTTGTAAAAGAGTACTACAATATGTATAAGATGATTTTATGGAGATAGACCTCAAAGCAGTACAGTGTGCAATGAACAGCTTTATGATGAAGTATATTTATGCTGCAGGATTTCCACATGCTATTAACTGTACCTTAGAGTAATGTGGTTTCCCATTTTCGTAGTGAATCTCCACATAATCGGAAGACAGCAAACCACTACAGAATAAAAAAGAAAGAATAAAAGAAAATAGAGTGATTTCTGCATCTGAGACACTTGGAGGTTTGAAAATAATCAGCTGAATAAATGGACATGAGGGATATGTAACCACAGATAGCGGCAGTCCATGATAAGAACAAACAGGCTGCCATCAAGAGCATCAAAGGTTATCCAGGAACAGGCCATTCCTCAATCTGTTAAAAAAAGACAAAGCAAAGGTAATTTAAGGATGAACTCCTTTTACACACAAGAGTCATCATTTGACTGCAATGTTAATTAATTTGAGATGAACAAAAAAGGGCAGGTAACAGGGGGACAGAAGCCCTATAAATAACCCACTGTTATGCTCAAAATAACTGGACTCTGAAAACACGATCTCTGAGGTATAAAGGCCAGATAGTGAACATTTGAGAGCTTTCAGGCCACATGGTCTCTATCACAATCATTCAGTTCTGTAGTTGGGTCACAAAACCAGCCACAGGCAACATGTGCACAAGCGAGAATGGCTGGGTTCCCGATACAGCTTCACTTACGGACATGAAAATTTGAATTTCACATAATTTTCATGTATTACAAAACATTTTTCTTCTTCAATTTTTTTCCAACCATTGTAAAAAGTAAAAAATGTTTTTAACTTGAGGACTGTACAAAAACAGGTATGTATGCCAGATTTGGCCTGCAGGCCATAGTTTGTCAACTCCTGGAATAAAATAATAAAAGTCTCCATAGACTTTGGAGGTGGACAAAGCAGGGTTTAAAGCCTAGCCTAGCCCCTTATTAAGTGGTGTGACCATGGGCACCTTACCCAACTCAGCCTTTACCTGGGTCAAATGGAGACAATAAAGACTGTGACTCCCAGAGGACATGGTGGGGAGTAAATGCAAGTGGCCACATGCAGTGCTTGACCCAGAATTCAGCACTGAGTGCATGCTCAGGAATGGGTATGGAGGCTGTCACTGTTTTTATCTTAACTCAACCTCTTCAAATGCATTTCTCTCTATACATTATGGGAAATAGCAAATATAAGTTCCTGAAAGAACTCTGGACTGTTGGGCATCTGGGTTCCTGTTTGGGCTCTGCCACTAGAAATAAGCATAACAAGATATAACTCAAATTTATTGAGCACTTACTATGTCATAGACACTGTTCTAAGGACTATAAAGGTATGAACCTGTGTAATCCTAATGGTAATGGAAGGACAATAGTAGGTTCTACTGTGAGCCCGATATCAGCCCTAAATTGAGGCCTCCATTTCCTCTTCTGCCAAAGCAAGCATTAGAGCAGAGGATTCCCCAGGTCCCTTCTACTTTCTATAATTCTGCCTAATAGTAGGTTTTCTTGTTAGGGAACCTTGACAAAGAGAAGTAGGGGAGGACTCAATGACTCCACATCATTTTGGGAGTGCACCTGATACAGTGCTAAAATGATCCAGCGAGCAGGATGGGGAGGCTCAGAGCCAGTCAACAGAGGGGAGAGTCGGGTGTACATCCAGCATGGAGTCCTGGGTGAGCTGAAGGGCAACCCTTATGATACAGAAAGCAAGCAGGTGTTTGCACCCTAGAAGGTTTTTCTTATTGAAATTACTAATCAAATGTGTATCTATTGACAATTCTACATTGGAAACTAAATTATGGTACTACTCATTCTCTCTTAAAAATAAAATATTCAAAGTAATGACAATTCTTAACTCTACATACTAGGGAATACCTGACAGGGTGCAGAAACTTCTTTCATTTCTACTTAATTAAGTCAGCTCCCAGCACTGTGAATATACATAAACAGGGCTGTTGATGGGAACATTTCTCTGAGGAATGCTTCTGCAACACCAAGAGGCAGAGAGGTTTTACTAGCTGTCTTCTAATTACCTCTCTCTACAGGTAATTCATTATCTTCAAAATTCTCAACCACAGAATCACTAGAGCATCTCTGAAAGTTGAAAGCAAAGTTATTTTAGGCCACTTCTTTTGTTTGTGATTAAAAGGACCCACAACAGCAGTGTAACCATTAACTCCCAAATCTGATAAAAGTCACCTTAATTATCCTATTTACCTCCTTTCAAAGGGCCTTTTTCATCCATGGAAATAACTACTTCCAGTACCTCCTGCATTTGAGATTCATAAAGAAGCAAAACAGCTACTTGTCTAGGTGCCTGTGACAGACACTGAGCTGGACTTAACACCATATGCTCCCCACCACCACATTTCTCCACTATTCCCCCTCATATACAGGAGCACCGCTACCCCATTTGTTCCACCCTTTCCTACCTGACCACAGCAATCTCTCCCTTAAAATGGTTTCTTTCACTCATCACAGCATCCCTAGCATCTGGCATAAAGCCTAGCGCATAGTAAGCCCTTAATCAACATTTGCTGAGCAAGCAAACACCTACCAACATCTACTCTATGCCAAGTCCATGCCAAATGCTGGGGAGCTGGGATGAAGAATGCAACTCTAAGCAAATAAGCACAAAGCATCTCAGGCTAAAATATTACTTGTAATCTCCCTGACAATAAATCAGTGCCAACTAAAATGTAAGCTAATTAATTGTAAGATTCTTGATGTAATTCCAAAATAAGAACCCTTCCAGCAATGGACAAGTAACAGTGGAAAGGAAGAACTGAATAGGAATTGGGCAGTGTGTCTCTAGTCCCACCCAGCAGAGAAGGGACAGGTAATCTATATATCTTTGAATGCCTAAGGATGAGTTGTTTGGCCATCTCTGCTTCCAGATTATCTTCACGGCCTTTCCTCCACCTCTGCTCTCTGTAGTTTCCCTAGTACAATTTCCTGTTGGAAACAGAATGTTCTAACATGTCAACACTGATCTATTTTTAGCAATTGTGGTCCCAAGCAATAACTGTCATTTTATTTTGCTGATCAGCCAGTTGGGTGTTTGGTTCTGGGAAATCTAATCATTTCTGCAGGAATTGATAAAAAGGAGTTTCCAAACATCCTAAGTTCTGAAATAAACACCCTTCTTCTAATCATTTCCGTTTCAGAAAAGCTATACACCATGGCTACTCCAGTGCTTCTCATACTGGTTAACTGGTAAAAGAGGAGTGATCCTTGGAAGAAAAGGATAAATGTGGGTTTAAGTTCAAAGCAAGAGGGAAGAGAGTTGAAGAATCGGAACCGGGAAATTCTCTTGAACCCGTCACTCTGAACCTTCATGATGAATCTGCACCACAGAGGTAGTGAAAAGAACATGAACTCCAGAGTCAGACTGTGATTTTACTCAAAATATGTGATTTCACTCACAGGAGTGAGCACCTTGAAGGTGCTGTACGCTAAGAGCAGGAGAATGGTAAGACTATTAAACATGGCAAAGGAGCCAAGAAGCAGATCAATGAAGAGAACTGTGGCAGAAACAACGCCGTGTACCTACCAAATCCCATTTCACTTTCCCCTTCCTGGAACAGTAAAACCATGCCTCGCAGCTTTCCCAGCAGGTAGGGTGGGGCCAAAAGATTAAATTATGGCTCATGAGATATGTGGGGAAGTGATATCTCATTCTTTAGTGTGACCATTAAAATCCATACATGGTCATCCAAGCTCTCTTGCATGGCAACCCTGGAAGCCACATGCCCCAGATAGGATAGCTTGTAAGATGCATGCAGCCTAGGCTCCTACATCAGACCTGGAGAAGAGCTTACTTAGTAGAGCTGCTCAACTTGCATTAAACCATAATCAGAGTAAGATATAACATGTTACAGTGTTAAGTCTCAGACTTCATCTTTATTACTGAAACATGGTCCAAACTTTCCTAATTCCAGGATTTATCATGAAGAAATGTTTAAGAAATTTATGTTCAAAGGATTTTGAGTTTGAGACTGATGTGTCTAATATTAGCCAAGTGGTCAAAACTCCCCCAAATTTGTATTTTCCATTACAGGAAGGCTTACTATGGAAGAGCCAAGGTTCCTAATAACTAGTTACTTACCAAGAATCCATAATACCTAGAAAACTTATTAACCAAGAAAGGTGAATGACTTCTAGTTTCTTGGAAAGTAACTTGAGTCCCTTACTTTAAAGAATCATGCTTTCTTATTAGGTAACCCTGTAATGAAAAGGCTATGAGGGAGCTAATCAAGCAAAAATACACCATGGCTACTCCAGTGCTTCTCATACTGGTTAACTGGTAAAAGAGGAGTGATCCTTGGAAGAAAAGGATAAATGTGGGTTTAAGTTCAAAGCAAGAGGGAAGAGAGTTGAAGAATCGGAACCGGGAAATTCTCTTGAACCCGTCACTCTGAACCTTCATGATGAATCTGCACCACAGACGTAGTGAAAAGAACATGAACTCCAGAGTCAGACTGAATGTGATTTTACTCAAAATATGTGATTTCACTCACAGGAGTGAGCACCTTGAAGGTGCTGTACGCTAAGAGCAGGAGAATGGTAAGACTATTAAACATGGCAAAGGAGCCAAGAAGCAGATCAATGAAGAGAACTGTGGCAGAAACAACGCCGTGTACCTACCAAATCCCATTTCACTTTCCCCTTCCTGGAACAGTAAAACCATGCCTCGCAGCTTTCCCAGCAGGTAGGGTGGGGCCAAAAGATTAAATTATGGCTCATGAGATATGTGGGGAAGTGATATCTCATTCTTTAGTGTGACCATTAAAATCCATACATGGTCATCCAAGCTCTCTTGCATGGCAACCCTGGAAGCCACATGCCCCAGATAGGATAGCTTGTAAGATGCATGCAGCCTAGGCTCCTACATCAGACCTGGAGAAGAGCTTACTTAGTAGAGCTGCTCAACTTGCATTAAACCATAATCAGAGTAAGATATAACATGTTACAGTGTTAAGTCTCAGACTTCATCTTTATTACTGAAACATGGTCCAAACTTTCCTAATTCCAGGATTTATCATGAAGAAATGTTTAAGAAATTTATGTTCAAAGGATTTTGAGTTTGAGACTGATGTGTCTAATATTAGCCAAGTGGTCAAAACTCCCCCAAATTTGTATTTTCCATTACAGGAAGGCTTACTAT